CAGCCTGTTACACAGAGAAACCTTGTCTCTGAAAACTAAAGAAAGAAAACAAAGGGCTGGAAAAATGGCTCAGTGATCCCAAGTTCAATTGCTAGCAACCACGTGACATCTCACAACTATTTATAATAGGATCCTGTGCTCTCTTCTGTTGTGTAGGTGTACATGCAAACATCACTTTAATATATATAAAATATATAAGTAAGTACATGTTGTAAAAAAAAATAAAAGTAGAGGAGCTTCAGAGACTGGTCACTGAAAAAGAACACATCCTGCTCTTACAATTTGAGCTTGGTTTCCTAGTGTCAGACAGCTCACAGTTGTCCATTGTCCATAACTACAGTTCTAGGGAAGGCTATGGGGGGAAGTCAACACTTTGAAGCTGATAATTTCTATAAACTGGTAATACCTTGTTGGAAAGCAATGTGGCATCTGTAAAGTTGGAAGTTATACTTAGTCTCTTCATTATACAGTTATTCAGCAAATCTTTATTTAGTATCTACAGTGTGCCAGCTAGTATTTGGTTTTTGTTGTGTTTGTTTTGTGCTTGGGATGAATGGAAGACTGGATAAAATTGAGCTGGATGTGGTGGCTCATACTTCTAACCCCAGCACCAGGGAGACAATGGCAAATTGTCTCGGGGGAGGTGGCCCACATGCCCTGGTATGTCTGTGGAGGTGACGAAATAGCTGGAGTTGGTGCTCTCCTTCCTTTACATGGATCCAAAGTATTGAACTTAGTCATGATCAGTCATCAGGCTTACATTTGTATTGTCCAGCATCAAGTACCTTTATAGGCTGAGCCATGCCACCAGTCCTTATATTGATTTTGAGATAAGTTTTCAAGCTGTTACCCAGCATGACCTTACTTGTGATCTTCATGCCGTAATTATAGACATACACCACAATAGCCAGATTATTTGAGGTTTATTTGTTAAATATACAGATTTATATCCATTAACTCCAGTCAGGCTGCCCAGGTGCCTCTTTTTTGTACACACATGTTCTTTGTATGTGTGGAGGTCAGAGGACAATTTGGATATTGTTCCTCAGGCAATGTTCCTCCCCACTTTTTTTTTTTTTTTTTTTTTTTTTTTTTTTTTTTTTTTTCTTTTAAGACAAGAATCTCTCACTGACCTAGAACTGACCAAATAGACTAATAGACTTCTCTGGTGGGTCACTCCCCCTCGAACTGGGGAGGGGGGGCTTTCTGCTTACCTCTACAAGCCCCCAGTCCTAGGTTTATAAGAATGGATTCCCATGCTAGGTCTTCCTTCCTTCCACCATTTCATGCACTTAAAATATCTGTTAGCTCTCAGAGGCTGACCCTGTAGAGGAAATCAGCCACACCTGAGATCCTATCTAGTACTTTCCCTAAACTAAGTTTCTAGTAGGTGACTGTCCCAAAGTAGGGTGGGACAATAGAATTAACTTCCTAAATTACTCTATTTGTTAACTCTACCTTAAATTACTGTATCTTATTTTTTTCTTCCTGGAACTCACTCTGTATACCAGGCTTGCCTCCAACTCACAGAGATCCACCTGCCTCTGCCTCCCGAGTGCTGGGACCAAAGGCGTGCGCCACCAACGCCCAGCTATTTATTTATGTATAGTCTTCTGCCTGCAGGCCAGCAAAGAGCACCATATCTCATTACAGATGGTTGTGAGCCACCATGTGGTTGCTGGGAATTGAATCAGGGTCCTCTGGAAGAACAGTCAAGTGCTCTTGACCACTGAGCCATCTCTTCAGCCCCCACCCCACTAACTCTTATAACTTAAATTAACCCATTTATAGTCATCTATGCTTTGCCTCGTGGCTTTTTAACCTCTCTTACATCTTGTACCTTCTGTTTCCTTTCCATGTCCTCTGGCGTCTCTCCGGCACCTACATTCATATCCTCTTATCTCAGCCTAGAAGTCCTGCCTACCTTCTGACCATTCAGCTCTTGATTAAACCAATCAGAAGGTGCCTTGACAAAGACATCTTCACAGTATACAAAGATTATTCCACAACACAGGCCTTTATGACTTTTAAATTATACTGCTCTGTTAAAAACAAAAAACCTACAGCCTCCAAATAATGGAAATAAATTGAATAAATTGTAAGCCAAAATTGGATGCTTCCCTTTTATGTCTCTCTGGACCACCCTTTATGTACTGTCTGAACCTCCACTTTTCTCTACCTGCCCAGAATTGTAACTCTAGACGTTCTCTTATCCTAATGTGCTTCTTCTACTTCCCTAAGGACCAACACAAACTCACAATTTTCCTGCTTCTCATATTTGGGACAAAGAAGTATCTGTTGGTGCTTCTTGGTTAAGAATAGTTGCTGCTTTTCCTAAGCACCTGAGTTAGAAGAGTTCCCAGCATCTAAATAAGGTGGCTTGTGAAGGGACCAGCTCACCATTTCAGCAGCCATAACAGCCTAGCACGGGCTTGTCTGACCTTGCCTTGATCACTAGGTCGTCAGATGCCTGCCTTGTGGCAAGGAACCAATCAGAAGTTAGCTGGCCGTGGTGTGCTTTACGGACAAGTGCACAGCAATGACGGGCAGAGCATAGCAATTGCCCTGGGAGGGCCTATGGGCCATAACAACCAGTTGACCAATCAACACAGGGCAAATCTGGAGGCACAACAATCCTGAGCCTGTGTGTACCCCTAGACACTCCCCTTACGCTGCCCTCTACGGCATAGAGATCTGATCTTATCTTATATGATCTCTATGCTGTAGCTTTGCTGTGTCTTTCCTAGCCATCTGCCATAGTGGATAGATGAGAGGCCCGAGCTAACATGGGGTTAGCTCGTTAAACAACTACAATAAAGCCTCGTGCTGTTTGCATCATGTTTCTGCCTCCTCCGTGGCAGGCCTGGACCGAGATCCTGGGGGCCTTCGCCTCCAGGGGTCTTACAGCTTGCAACTGCCTGTAACTCCAGTTCTAGGGAATATGCTGCCTCTTCTGGTCACTGTGGCCACCTGCATACATATGATTTATACTCAAACGGACACACACAAACTAAAAATAGAAAAGGGAAAAATAGAGTCATGTTTCAGTTCCAGCTTGGTTTTTCCATGTATTACAACCAAAGTATGTTGTGTTTTCAACAATAGGGTCTTACAGTCTACTTATGCTAGACAATCCAGCAGTGGTAATAGCTTGTGCAGTTTCACTGGTCTCTCTGACCAGTGAATAACTCAGGGAGATATCCCATACCTGACATTGCAATTTTTATTTAATAACCAATCTCTTGTGGGGGAAACATTGCTCACCTGTGTATCTGTTCAAAGTTTTTATTAAATTACTAAGAAACGGGTTCACATAACGCTTAAAAAATCTTAATTTTTCTTAACCTATCATTCTCAACACTGAACTGTCTCCCTTACCCTGATATGTTCCTTTTGCTTATATGTTTGTTTTGTTGTTGTTTTAAGTCATGGTCATTGTTTGGCTCTCTTTCCTCTCCATGTCGTCTGTTGTGTCTCCCACGCCTAGATTCATCTCCTCTAATTCTCTCTCTCTGCCCAGAAATCCTGCCTAACTTTTTCCTGCTTATCTATTAACCATTCGGCTCTTTATTAAACCAATCAGAAGGTGCCTTGGGAGAGACATATCTTCACTGTGTACAAAAAGATTATTCCCCAACAGGACAGGGTGCCATTCCATAGCTCTATCTGGCCTCCCAAATGTTGATATTAAAAATGTACATCACCATGCCCAGCAACATGGTCAGTTTTTATGACTATTCCACATACATTCAAGGAATATAGGTGAAAGGCATTTATCTTTTACTTAAAAGTTTGTATGTACTTGTTTTAATAGTTAAGTATTAAAAGCACATGAAGAGAACAGATTAAATGTTTTTTGCTCAGGACTCAACTTGAAAAACAGTGATCAAATACCTCTGGCACCTCCTTATAGTTCCTTTCTCTTCATTTCCTCACAGATATGTATGTTTGTTGTCTTGAACTTGGTATTTTGTATTCCATAAACTTAGCACAGTAATGCATAGGATTTGTCAGTATACTAGAATCTTCTCAAAGATACAAAAGTTCTCCTGTCAAAAAAGATTGTAGCTGCTGGAAGAATGTTGGGAATTTTCCAAAGAAATATTTTCGTCATGTTAGTACATATCAAGATAGATCAGAAGAGCTTTATTTGTCTCTAAGTTGGTAGTTACCTGAAATAGTAAGATATAAATATGTAAGGCAGATAGGTTGTCTTAAGGATCTACCTTTGAGCCAGGCGTTGGTGGTGCACGCCTTTAATCCCAGCACTGGGGAGGCAGAGGCAGGAGGATCTCTGTGAGTTCGAGACCAGCCTGGTCTACAAGAGCTAGTTCCAGGACAGCCTCCAAAGCCACAGAGAAACCCTGTCTCGAAAAACCAAAAAAAAAGGGGGGGGGGGTGGGATCTACCTGGGAATGATACCTGATAATTAGGCAGTGATGTCACTGGTAGTATTTCTACACACTATGTATGCTTTTGACCAATTAGGTAAATTGAAAATCTAGATGAAAAAGACCCAGTAATTGACATTTCTGAATTACCTTTGATGTCTACTTGGAGAAATGGTTGTGTTAAAAAAAGTCTGTGGTCATTGGGGAGAGGCAGGCTGATTTTTGTGAGTTGTGGGCCAGTCTGGTCTACAAGCTACACAGAAAAACCCTGACTCAAAAAAAAAAAAAAAAAAAATCTGGTCACTTGACAGATAAAAATCTTTCAAGGGCTTAACAAAGGTTAGGTGTGGTAGGATATACCTGGAGTCTGAGTGCTTGGAATACTGAGGCAGAGACTTGTTCAGGTCAGGAAAAACCTGGACAGAATAGCAATTTCCTTGTCTCAACAACAAAAAGACTTAAAGCCATGTTTTAGGCAGTGACAAATCTAAATTGAACTTAAAGATTTTACTGTCAAGATCATGGTTTGATACATTCATTCAAAGTTAGATGTGACTGGTTTTGCCTATTCTAATTATGTGTTTTGTTTTTTTGTTTTCTCATTTATAGATTGGTAGATTCAAGTGGCCTTTTTAATGATTGAGTAATGATGGAGATGGACCCAAATTAGAAAGTGATTTCTTCAATAAAGCAATAGAAGATTCTTCATATCACTTCTGGAAAGCTCAGTTCAGTTTTTGGGAAGGAGGAGAACAAGTGAAAAACAGAAAATTGATAAGAAGAAACCCTCATTTTGAAATTTCTCCTTGACCCTTATCTTTTCTACTTAGATAATTTTGCTTTGAATTTATAAATAGTAAAGACCAAAGAAATAGGATACATATTTAGAAGCTTTATACCAAGAAATTTGCCTTGAAAGTTGCTATATTCTGTGACAGAAAAGATACATCAAGTTTCTGTCTGATTCATATATATATATATGTATATACACCAACAACAAACCTACCAAAACAAAACTTCTTATATCTTTAGATTTTGAAGTGTAAGACAGATAAAATAATATATCCACACACTGTTTTAAGCAGTTGTGTAAGATAACTGCTTATCTTTGTGTTTTGAAGGCTTCTGTTGTGGATATTTTGCCACTGGAATTGATTGCTCAGATCTCTTATAGTGCTTTACTGTTACATTTTTGACCTTTCACCTTGATGACATTTCTTGCACACACCTGAAACCACCTGTCTAGCTATGACCTTGTTATGAACAGTATTTGTACTCACTGTGCAAATGTACGTGTTTTGCCTATTTAAGAAACATTATAGTGCCATTACTCAAGGAAGTTGAATGAGGTGAACGTAGACATAGCTTTTCCCCCTTTCCCCCCTTTTTTAAATGTAACAAATAACTTTTTATGTTCCCCTTCCCCCTTCCCCTCCCCCCTTCCCCCTTTGGAAACAGGAAAGGAACTAGGTAGTTCAGGATGAGTTATTGAGAGGGTTAAGAGAGTGAGCCACACAGAGCTGGGCTTCTTTGTGCTTCATGACAAGGCATGCTGCTGGCCAGGCTGCTTCTTCAAAACTTCTTTTTTTTTTTTTTTTTTTTTTT